TTTGTCGTCTCATTGATACCAGGATGTAGTCCAGTGTCGTGATTTTGTCGTCTCACTTATACCAAGTTTTAGCCCAGCGTCGTGATTTTGTCATCTCACTGATACCAGGTTGTAGCCCAGCGTCGTGATTTTGTCATCTCACTGATACCAGATTGTAGCCCAGTGTCGTGATTTTGTCATCTCACTGATACCAGGTTGTAGCCCAGTGTCGTGGGTTTTCTGTATTTGTCCTGCGTTTCTCGGGTGGCTTGGGTTCATTTTTTTGCAGGTTTCTGCTTCACTGTTTATCCTTCTCATTCTTAGTAGTCCCCTCGACTTCCTCACAGATGCTTTGTTATGTCACAGGCAGTCTGGTCTGGCTGCATTCTCGTTAGATTTCATTCTGTGTCTGTCAATATTATCCAGACATAGTCTAGTTCCATCTTTCTCTCTAATGCTGTTTTTCGTAACCCTGTCCCTTCTTGTGATGTTAGAGACTTTACAGAGACAGTGCATTTCCCATGAAGTTATTTTGTGTCCTAGTGCCCTATTCACTGTCCATGCTTGACACCGATACTATAAAGTTAGGATGAAGATGCTATTAAACATCTGCTGCTTTGCTAGAAGGGAGACATTTAGGTGTTTCTTGTTTTACCCACAATGGGGCCCCAGAACCCACACGGGGGGGGGGGGGGGTATTTAATCTAATATGTCTGGCTCCTTCGTTTCGTAAAAGCTCTTTTAGTCTGCATTTCCCCCATTTTCTTGTCTAAGTAACCTATCTGGCCATTTAAGATTTTGCTGTCACATTCGTTGATAAAGACTGAACTAAATGTTCCGTTGTATTTGTTCACATCTTTTCCCTCCCTTGAACTTTATAGTCATAATTCGTGTCTTGTTCTGTTATCTCAGCCACTTTAGTAGTTCAGTATCTCGATAGACGGCATCCAATTATTCGCCACCGTGACTCCACCCTGTTTGCATCTCAGTTCTCGGGCAGTTTGCCATTTCAGCGTTGAGCTCAGTGTAACAACAGAGGCATTCCCCAGACTCTTGCAAATGTTGAACAAATGCGTAATAGTTTTGTGTAGTTTTTTTTACCCCCAATGAAGCATTGTTTCTCTTGAATCGACAGAGACGTTTATTTACATGTACTAAAACAAGAAATGTTTTCAAAGCGCTAGAAAATCTGTGGAAGTCGAGAGAAATCAAAACTATTGTACTAAACTTAAAATATTTAGCTCTTAAATCAAAACAGGGTTATTTTTTTTTTACCCCATCTAGGAGCTTTGAGATTTCGTTGGGAATTCCAGGAAAAATTCCGAAGAATAGGGAGGGGTGTTGGGGTGTGAAATAAACACTAGCACTAACCCTAACCATACCATCCCCATTCCAATAATATAGGACTTATCCGGGAATTCCCTATGAAATCTTGTAGTTCCAAGATGGGGTAAAATAAAGAGAGAAAAAAAACCAAATCAGTACTTCTGTATAGAGTGGAAATACGGAGAATAACTAAATAAATTTGCTAATAAACTTCAAGCAATAACTGGTGCTTACACACAATATCTGGAATTAAATGGTATGATAGAATCAAAGAGTGGAGCTTGAACAGAGAACAAAACAAATTCCAGAAATGCAAGGGGTGAAGAAAAAGCTGGAGTTGGATAGGACACATGTCGAGAAAACATGAGAACATTGTACATGTAACTAGAATGGCTTGACCCTGGAACCCACAGGTGCATATAAAAAAAAAAGGCAGACCAAAATCACAAGGACACGACGGGTAGAGAGTTAAGTTAATTAAAAAGTTGTGGAGGATATACAGTAAACTGTATACGGTAGTGAGGAGCGACGACTTGGCGTGAGTTAGTGAAGGGCATATGCTCCATTGAAGAATGAAGGACTTGAGAAGGAGATGAAGAAGAACAGTTTGTCCTGTCTAGCGTCACCTTGTGTAGCTTCATCAATGTCAGCCTTACATTATTCATCTGTCTCTTCTTAACTTTCTCTATTGTTTCAATGAGGAGCCGTTGTGGTGTAGTGACTAGACGCTCACCTACTTATCGGACGGTCGTGGGTTTAGGTTCTGGCGGAGCCGGACTTTTTTTTTTCAAAAAAATAACCTCAGCTCCCATGCGACCTGGCCTTAACTGGGAACATGGGAAGTAAAGGCGGTCGGCGTGACGACCAAGACTATAGAATATAGATCTAGCCCTATGTGCCCAGTACGCATGAAGCCGTAGACAAGAGTTCCTGACTTTTGTGTTACAAAACATTGCTTAATGATAACCGGGTGTGTGCATGTTTGTGTGTGACTGTGGGTGTGTGTGTGTGGCTGTGTATGTGTGTGACTGTGGGTGTATGTGTGTGACTGTGTGTGTATGTGTGTGACTGTGTGTGTGTGTGACTGTGTGTGTGTGCGACTGTGTATGTAATTATTTCCGTTGGTGTGTCGTGTTTGTAGAAGTGAATTTTACGTCATCATCGTTCTCTTCTTAAAACACAATAGACAGAGAGAGAGAGAGAGAGAGAGAGAGAGAGAGAGAGAGAGAGAGGGAGAGAAAGTTAAAAGAGAGAAATATATAAGACTCAAAGACATCGAAAAACAGACAAAACATAGGAAGAAAGAAAGAAACAGGGAATGAGAGAAGGGGAGAAGAGAGGAAGAGAGAAGAAATTTACACAGCTTAGGAAGGAGGGAGAAAGAAGGATATAAACAGAGAAACAGACAAAAAAATTGGGGGAAGGGGAGTCACAGAATAGGACAGATCAAAAAAAAAAAAAAAAAAAAAAAAGAGGAAGTCCGAGAGAGAAAGAGAAAAAACTAAAGGCAAAATCTACAGAGAAAATAGAGACACATAAAAAAAAGAGATAAACAGAAAGACTGAAGCAGAATAAACAGAAAAAAAAAAGAAAGAACGAGAGAGAGAGAGAGGGGGGGGGGAGGAAGAGAGGGAGGGGGAGGGAGTGTGTGTGTGTCTGTGTGTAAGTGTGGCAAGAGGGAGAAAAAAACAATCAATAAAGACTGCTGTATCATAATTTCTCCTACACGATGTAATAAAACATGACGTGGAAACATTGAGTGTTTAACAAATGGGCAGGGACAGATACACAAAAAAAAAGATTTGGGAGCAAAGGGGGGGGGGGGGGGGGGGGGGGAGAAAACCACTGCTATATCAAAGCTGCTCTTACATCCTGTTATAAAACTATTCTCAACATAGCGAGTGTGTGTGTCTTAGGCCTGGGGGGAAAGGGGAGGGGTGGGGGGATTAGCGGGGGTGGAGGGGGCCTCTTAGATTTTGAGGTTTGAAGGTTTTAAACAACGGATCAACATCATGGTACACGGGTGTAACCCATAAGTGCTCCGTTTAAGTCTGAGTCCGAAGAAGCTCAGCACAGTGCATAGGTTCTGTAGCACTCCAAATCTTGCCCGGGCAGCTCCGTTAGGCTACTCTTTTTGATTTCCAACTGCCTAGCGATTTTTTTACGTGCGCAACAATGCACACGGGCGTCCGACCTCACTACCCAGATACCAGCTGGAATTACTAGAGGTCTAGTCCACGTGAACAATCTCAGTCCTTACCGGGGAATGAACCTGGAACCTCTAGCACACGAGGAGGAAACCCTTCCTCGAGACAAAAATATATACAACATGAACAGCAAGTAATATAACAAAATAATAGGTAGTATATGCATTAAGACGTACATATACACATACATAAAACACACGGAGAAGAGAGCTGGAGAATGAAGTTAGAAAGATGGGGAGAGCCCCATGCAATGGCGAAGGATAGAACGACTTGGCGTGAGTTGGTTGAGGGCCTATGCTCCATTGGGGGATAGAAAGGCAGAAGAAGAAGATACACATATATACACACATACATACAGACATAAAAGAATAACCAGTATCAGAGGGAAATATCACAGCTTCTCTTATACTCAAACATTAAACAGTAGAACCTAGAGGGAGTGTGTGTATGTGTAAATGGAGAGACAGAGAGGAGGAGGAGAAGGAGGAAGAGAGCGAGAGAGATAAAGATCTATATATATACACACATGGACATCAAAGCAGTGTTTTCCCGTTGTAAACTTGAACAAAGAAGACACAAACAAAAGATTGCACAATTTATTGCCTGGCATATTTCGCTGTATCTCGTCAGGTGCATACTACAGCCAATTTTACATAAGTAAAGCAGATAAGTAAAACGTTTATAACTGAAGTAAAAATTCAACAACGATAAAAAAAAAACTGCCTGTTTCTACAGGGTAGCTTCAGTGTCAGAACTATACCTGACGTGACACAGCATAATATGCCGGGCAATGACTGACTTTCTACCCCACCAGGACATCACACAAGCGATAAACACCCAATGACACAAAGTGCCACCATGTGGATGAGAATCGCCGTGGAGAGGTCCCAGAAACCGCGTTCAGACAATTGGCCATATTTATGGCCTGCCTATATTGCGGCCTCTGGCAAAAGCCAGGGTAGGGCTTTAAATAACAAAATATTTCATCCCAAAAAGGACAAAACTGAATTTTTTTTTAAATTCCGGGTAATAAAGTGTCTAATTTGTTGTTTGTGTCTTCTTTGTTCAAATATATGTATATATGTGTGTGTGTGTGTGTGTGTAGAGAGAGAGAGAGAGAGAGAGAGAGAGAGAGAGAGTGGGGGGGGGGGAGAATAACCACTATCAGACTGCCATATCACACACGAGGAGCGGCTGGCCGAATGGTAGCAACGCTAGGCTTCCATGCGGGAGACCCGGGTTCGAACCCTCGGTAAGGCTGGAGATTTCTGTCGGGTGCAAAAATAAAATCCTCACCTAAATAGTCGTGGCAACAGCACTAGCCATGCGGTCTTAAAGCCTCAGGCTCAAAGACCGCCCCCTCCGCCTACCTACACCACAGAAGTAGTATATAAAGGAAGCAATTGGCAGTATATCACACAGTCTCTTCCATCCAGCAATAAAACATGACTCCAGATAGACAGGCTTGTTCATAAACAGACAACCTACCTGGAGTCCACTTTCTGGCAGGGAGCCACCCTGGTAACCAGACGCGAACATTCAGACGACGAGCATAGGGGGCCCGTCTGCTGACAGACGCACCACCGGCACCCATCGAACCATTTATCCCATTCTCCGCGGCCGCCATCACACGTGACCTCCGAGGGCCGAGCCCAGACACGTGACAACAGCAAACATGACGTCAGAATGGCTTCCGTCACCCGCGTCACCACCATCTCCACCAACCACAGGGGTCACTGGAGGGTTAGGATCTATAGCTGACTTGATCTGGACCCATCCTGGATCCCTGGTCTATGTTACAATAAGTGATTACATTATAATTTCCTCAGCTGGTTTCCATGCGGGGACTTTACTGCTGCATTCAATTCCTTTCCTCCATAGTTCCAATCTGTTTGATGGAGGAAAACAAGAACACAATTAAAACAGATAAGTTAGGTGTGTATACTTTACAGGACGTCGCAGAACCAGGTACAATATTTGCGCACTGTTTTTTTTTGGGGGGGGGGGGGGGGGGGGGGGGGGGGGTGGGGGGGGGTTAGTCGGTATTTCCCCCTTCAGTGCTGTCCAAACTGGCAGATTGTATACCACTGTTCTAATTACAAAGCGGCCTGCTGCCTAATCGTAAACGTAAGGTTGACACAAGGTGTGGATGAATGGCAGAGTGATCAACAATAACAAGAAAGACAGCTGGAGATTCATGACACCATCCACGATCGTGGAGGCGGAACCTCATTATGATGCCTGTACAAAATGTGTTAATTGGCTTGCTCTGTGGGGAAGGGGGTAACTGTGACCATCAACCAGTATTTCCGAAAGGGGAGCTTTAGGTTATAATTGTGACTAGGTTATGTGCGCCATATAAAATAGTGTAGCATTGCTCGCCATCAAGTAGCTCCGAAAAGAACTCTTACAGTGCTGAGGCGATCAAAGGAACACCCATCCCCATCCCCTCCCCCTTTATCGTAGGCTTTTTTATAGGGCTAGACCTCATTTGTATAGACTAATCGGCACTTGATGGGTGATGTGGTCAGCATCATGCCGGCCGCCTTTACTTCCCAGAAGTCATTTTTTCAAAGAAAAGAAAAAATGTCTGGTTCCGTCAGGACCCGAACACCCGATCTTCTGATCCACAAGCGAGCTCTAGCCGCTACACCGCGGCGACTTCAATCAAAGGGAACAGACCCAAATGCTGTCCCGACTGGCAACGAAGTTGTCTGCCGGCAAGCCAATAAGCGACCCGGTCGCCGATCAGTGTATTATTGAAACAGCCGGCCTCTTCTCCAGGGCAATTGAGCTGTTTACTCAGAGGCCGACATGTTGACAACTGGCTTCGTCACCGGCCGTAGGCCCGAGCCACAGCATAGGAAGATCACAAATGCTGTTGTTAATAATATGTAGACCACTTGCTAAGATTCTGCAGGCCAAATTGGTCCCGCGTGTCGCCATTTGAGAAGCCCTGATCTCCACCTGAATTCCTGCAGCCCCAGACAGTGTTGAATGCACAGGTGTCTGTGCTGAAGTGTCTGTGTCCTAGAACAACAAGTGTTTAGTCTTATAGAGCTGAAAACGACAGCTTTGGGAGAGAAGGTATTATAGTAACAATTAAAAAATAAGGGGTTAATGTAACAGAAGTAAAGGGATAGGAAAAGAAAACAAATGTTTACCATGTGTAGTTGAACCAATCAAATACGTCAAGTTCCGCGGTACTAAAATATTCAAAACAATGTTTTCCCGTAATAAATTTAAATAATGCGGATACAAACAATACATTGCACAATTTATTGTCAGGCATATTTCGCTGTTTCTCATCAGGTGCGTTACTACAGAGTTACATCAACATAAAATAAAACGCAAAACTGAATAAATTCAACTGAAATGCGAATAGTGTCTTCAAAAACATTGCGTCCGTTTCATGGCCACCGGAAGCTCACAGTAGTCACGTCACTCACCAGGGTAACTTCAAATTTATGGTAAATTCCATCTGCTTACAAAGGAGGCTGTTGATTTTTATTGTTAAAGCTTCGGCGATTCTCTATACTAAAATCGTTGACTTTTGCTGCGAAAGACGAAGCATCTATGGGAATGCCCGGTATGCAATGATGTCGATTTATTAACTTCTTAAACAAGTATCTGAAGCAGTAAAACTCACAGGTTCCCATGAACTTCGCAATCGACAAAAGAATCAACCATTCCGTTCCCATGATGGGTTATAATGCAGGGCGGGTCTCTCATGTGATTACTCGAGTTCCTTTCTGACACCCACGCCTTGTGCTCAAGTGGGATTTGATACCGCCATAGAAAACAGTGGGGTTCCCAACCCGTCTGTTCAGAATATTAGAGCGCATTGAAGCAAACAAGCATATTTTCTATGCAATCTTGGATTAAGTGAGGACGGTAGAGAATAAAGAATACACTAAGAGAACTTTTACAATAAAACATGCACAGAAAACAGTGTGCTTGACACAAGTACATTAATTAACATAGCTTT